AAAGTATTATCAAACGTTTGGTACCTTTACTGAAATATTTTTAAAGGTTTGGTATTATATCTGAAACCATTGAAAAGGTTTGGTACTGATTCTGCGAATCATTATAAGGTTTGGTACCTATGCTGCACCTTCTGCAGAAAAGTTTGGAGTGCAGTAAGCTCTTTTAATTTTGCATTTTACATAGAGGCTAGGAAAAGATCGTTATCACCTATTAAGGTAGCATTAAGTACAGGAAAAATGGGGCACTTCATTTCAAGTAAAAAGGTACAGCACAATTTTTCCCTTTTATATATGCATTTTCACAACATCTAGCACATGTAGGGGTGTCAAAAAGGCTCGGGCGGCTCGTGGCTCGGCTCAGGAAAAGCTTTCCCGAGCTCGCCTGACTCGTGGCTCGTAGTGACCGAGCCTCAAAATAAGAGGTCGGGCCGGCTCGTGTCACGGGCCAACGAGCCTCAAAATAAGAGGTCGGGCCGGCTCGTGTCACGGGCCAAAAATGGCCCGTGACAATAATGCTCAGCAAGAGCAAATTAAAGGACCAAAAAAAAATTAAAAAAATAATTCAACTGCTGCACGGCAGCAAGTCACACAGGCAACTAATAAAGTTGTCTTTTTAGATAGCTTTATAGCTGCCAGCTAGGGTAGCTTAAGGCAGTTATAGCTGCATTTTTTACGTGTTATTTTTAATTGTGTAGATTTTGAAATTCAAATTTGAAAAATAAAGCGGGTTTTTTATCTATAAATACGGGATGATTCTTGAAATTTTAAATCACTTTGTTATCGATTTTAATTCGCATTATTTCTATATTATAGAATTTAGATTCAATCATTCAAGTTTCAATTTCTTCTTTCTCACTTCTCACATAACAATTAATATATTCAATTTCTTTCACTCCACAGTCTAATATTCAGTATTTTTTATTATACTAGTTATTATGGATTTTACAAGTGATGAAGTTAATCAGTTTGGCGGTAGCTCGAGTACTCCATCTAACTACGATGCATGTGAAAATGTTCCAATTAATTTGGAGGATATTGAAGAGGAAGAAGTTCAAGTACTCGAGACAAAAAGGTCAAAAAAAGAATCATCGGACTGTTGGCAACATATGACACGAAAAAAAATTGGTGTTCAAAATGGAATAGATATTTGGAAAGCATGTTGCAATTACTGTGGCAAAGAACTTAGTTGGAAGCCTGGCTCGAGCACAACGTATTTGAATAGACACGTATTAAGGATTTGCAAAGCGAAACCAGTCGATTTCGACTCGAAACAGATCGAACTAGTGTTTGGCGGTTCTAATTCTACTCTTTCCACCTTTGTATATTCACAGGAAAGATTTCGTGAAAGAATGACTGCAGCAGAGATGCCGCTTACGATGATAGACTTAATACACTTTACCCGACTCGTGTAAAAATATTTTCAACCCAGGTATTCTTCTTATTCTAGAAATACTCTTCGTTCGGATAGCATAAAATTATATAACAGAAGAAAACAAATTACTATTGAAGGTCTAAAAAGTTTTAATAGTGTTATATCGTTTACTTCTGATTTATGGACTGGTTGTAATAGAAAATATTATATTGCTGCTACGACTCATTATATTGATCACCTGTGGCTTCTACATAAAAGAATTATTGCATTCAAATGTGTAGAATTTCCTCATAATGCCACTAACATATACATGGTTTTAAAAGATATCATACAGGAATATGGTATACAAGATATGGTTCAAAGTTTTACTTTTGATAATGCTACAGTGAACAAAATTGTTATTGAAAGATTTATTGCTGATCTTAACCCCGTATTTGAAAATTTATTTTTTCATCAACGTTGTGTATGTCATATTATTAATTTGATTGTAAAAATTGGATTATAACATATAAGTTCACCTTTATATAAAATTAGACAAACAATAAATTTTATTATTGTGTCACCAGTAAGAAAACAAGTATTTAATAATTTGTGTAGAGTATGGATTATAGGAGAAATCATTTGCCATTGACGTAACACATAGGTCGAACTCTACATATCTTATGTTACATTCGTGTGAAAATTACGATAAAGTGATTTCACTATATTATAATGGTAGGCATACACTCGGACCCGAACATAATTTGGAAGATTGGGAATGGACTATTGTATTTTACGTGAAAAATTCTTACAACCTTTTTTCGATACTACAAAGGAATGTAGCGGTGTTTATTACCCTACATCTTCTCTTATTTTACAACATTTTTTCTACATTTCACAAGCATTTCATAAATATAGGAATTTGCCACTTTTTGCTGATGTAGTCCGTTCTATGGAGTTAAAATTTTGTAAATATTGGGAAAAGTTGCCTTCTTTATTTCTTTTAGCTTCAGTAATGGACCCTCGACTTAATTTAACCGACACAAAAGAGTTTGGCGGTAGCTCGAGTACTCCATCTAACTACGATGCATGTGAAAATGTTCCAATTAATTTGGAGGCTATTGAAGCGGAAGAAGTTCAAGTACTCGAGAATTATGCTGAAAAGGAAGGTCAGCGTAGTTCTACTTCCCAAAGTTCTTTTTCAAAAAATATTTCAACAAATTCTGAAAATTTATGAAATTATTTAGATAGCAATACAAGTGTTCCTTCATTTAGTTCTAGTTCTAGCTCATCAACATTTAGAGCGATCAATATTAGTGGTACAAATCTTGAAATTTCTCATTTGAATAGACACGTATTAAGGAGTTGCAAAGCGAAACCAGCCGATCTCGACTCGAAACAGACCGAACTAGTGTTTGGTGATTCTAATTCTACTCTTTCCACCTTTGTACATTCACAGAAAAGATTTCGTAAAGGAATGGCTGCATACGTGGCTACAGCAGAGATGCCGCTTATGATGATAGACGTTGATAGTATAATGGCCGAAGAGTTGCAGCATATCCAAACATAGGATGTTGTAAGTTTTTAAATTAATTATTTTTCTTTAAGAAATGTGTTTTTTTAATTTATTTGATTCAAGAAAATTGTACACGAAATATTTTATTCGTGTACAATTTTAACTCCGCCTACATTGATTGTAACCGGTCCCAAGCCCGGAAAAAGGAGGAGGGTTGTAATTTGTAACTTTTATTTATTTTGTTAATTGTATAAATATTCGTATAAATTATATAATTTTGAAAGTTATACTTTTATTTAATTTGTAATTTGTATAAATAATAAATGATGCAATTTTTAAATTCTTTCAAAAAAATGTGAAAAAAATGTCATTAAACAATTTCTTTGCTTTCTACACTAAACAAATTGCACCATAACAATTGGCATGTGAAAAAAATGTCATTATAAATTGCAAAAAAAAATAAAAAAATTAGAAAAACCGAGCTGACCCGGCTCTTAAAAAGCTTGAGCCAAAGCTCGGGCCGAGCCCTATTTTTTTGGCCAAGCTTTGGCTCGACTCGGCTCGGGCCCAAAAAAAGCCCGCTACGATTTACTCGAGCCGAGCCCTAGCCGAAAATTTCGGCTCGCGAGCCTGCTCGACTCGACTCGTTTATATCCCTAAGCACATGACTCCAAGCCGAAACCTTAAACTCAAATTTCTGGAACTAAATATTGACATCCTACAATTCGACCCTACATACCTAGGAACAAACCCATTTTGCAAACACTTTACACACAAATCCGAAGAGTTAGATCTTCCACACATTTGGTCTTGTTGCTTGAAGGGTGTTGATTTCAGTTTCCATTTCCCTCTTAGCTCGTAATAGATTAGTAATCGTTCCTTCGATCTCTCACATATTGGAGGGTCACACTACATAAAGAAGGTGCATCCACCCACATCTTGGCTTCGAGGACAAGTTTAAAAATCTTCTTCCCGGGTTCAGTTCATCCACGAGATCTTCATCTGCACCGGGGAACCACATCTGCATACATTCAACTCCATGTGCGTGCTGATTTTTTTTTTACTACCTATGAGAAAGAAGGTAGGAGGTAATATATTGGTAAAGAAATGGAGGGAAATAAACAGTGAAGTATATAATAGGAGGAAAATATGTGTAATGCCCAAATTGTCCTACACTTATTTGGGGAAAATCTTGAAAATATCATTACAAGGGTGAACTGACGGTTTCGACGGTCAAACAGATGAAAACTGTCATTTTGGACTGGCCCTACTCATTTTTTAAAGGTTTGGTATCTCCGATGGCACAAATTAAAGGTTTGGCAAAGTCTGCTAATAAACGAAAAGTTTGGTGCCTCAACTGCAATTTTTCCTATATTTTCTCCTTTCCCCTCTCTTTCAAAAGATGATTCAAGTTTTGAATTGATTACCCATTTGAAAAATATTTGTTGTAGATAACCATTTATCTAGAGTCTGTTTGAGAGTGGTTTTGAGAATATATTTTTTGACTGTAAGAAAAAAATGGGGTTCACTTGTGAAAGGAGAAGTCAAATATAAATGCTGAAATAGTGAAATAGCGGTCCAAAAATTAATTTTTTGATAGAAAAATTGCTTCCAAATAGGCCCATAATATTTTACATAATGATAAGATGTCAAAATATAAGTGGAATTTTTTTATGTGATTTTGATCTAAGCCCTATTTGATAGCAATTTTTTACCTCCAAAAAATCAAATTTTTAATTATTATTTCATTATTCTAACGTCATTTTTTACTTTTTCTCTCACAAATAAATTCAGTTTTCTCTCTATCGATTAAAAAATCAATTTTTATAATTATTACCCAACCGGCCATAATTAAGCCCTTGTTTGAGCCCCATTATTTTGGGGAGAATGAAATTTTGAATAGTGTATTGATGGAAAATATGTAATTAAAAAATAAGGAAAAATTTTGAATTTGCGTGTAATATTATTTTATTGAAGAATGTATGGTTAAAATGATGTTAAAACATTGTTGAAAAATGAATTTTTCCACAAGAATGGAATTCAAACAAGAGTTAAATTCGCTCCGTACGTATACCACAATACTACACTACACATTTTTCCCTCTAGACTTCTCTAGACCGTTCTAGACTTTTCTAAGACTCGTGCCAAAAGTTGCCCCTCTAAAGCTTGAGAATATTTTCATTCTGATCCTCCTGAACGCTTACACTACCAATTCTCTCTGCGTACATAATTTTCTTGCACAGACAAAAGGCCAAGAAATCAAAATTGTCACTAAAGCGAGAATGTTCGGAGTAGTTTTTCCAAATCGTAGCTTCCCCCTAGACATCTCCACCTTCGCCCAAATTGATACGTTCCACTGGGTCTTGGACATGAATCACTTCGTCGGTGAGGAGTATGATTCGATCCGAGAAGTCTGCATATTTTTGCTCAACAATTTCACGCTCCCACCTGACAAGGCCTTAGCCGTCTATATCCAGTCTCCGGGCAGCCATTTCTTGTTTTGTGGGGCGGTAATGGTTTCACGCCCCTCCGCCGTGCTATCATTGCCGTGGCCCGAGCCTGGAAGCAACGCTGCTCAGCTGCAGCTAACTGCGCCTGAAGTACCGCCATTGTCTGCCAAGATTGGGGTGTCGGTGGAGGATTTGGCGGCCCTGCCATCCCTAGACGTGGCGGCTGAGAAGAAGATTGAGCGGCTGGCCTTGAAAGTGGGTGAAAATCTGTTCAATTTCATGCAGTCGTTTTGTGGTGTGGATGGGTCGAAGCTGGTGGTGCCTATGGATATTTTGGACAGGTGGTTTAAGAAGTTCCAGGAGAGGGCCAAGCGTGACCCAGAATATTTGAAAGGTTTTGCCTTGTAGAGGTATATGTAACTAGTTAATTATGCGTATTATGACGTTGCTAGGTGAATGTCTTTTGTTTATTTTTTCTCCAACGATCAGATTACTGTGGAAATGGAATATTTCAAGTTAGTGATTCTCTTTTGAGGTTAGATTTCTGTTTTTGATGAAGTGAAAGCTTTCTTGTTAAACTTACAATTACTGAAGATTTGATGTTAATGTAATTATCTGCTGGCTACAATGGAATTTTTTAGCTCCAACTCCATTTTTTTACATACCAAAAGTCCCTCTTTTTCATCATACTGACTAGTGTATAATGGTAATTTGATCCCTTGTTAGTTTTGGTGCTTTATGCACGTTAAGGTATTAGAAACGTTGTGTCGATGGGGCTTAATTACATTTATATGGATGTGCATTATGGATGTGCATTATTTTAAGTAACATTGACAATCTGTTATTTACGATTTCCCTATTGTAAGGTCATCTTTAATACGAACCGAGGGTTTGTAAGTCTCTCTTAGAAAGTTTATCAAGTCAAGTAGATAAGTCCAACAATGAACAAGAGGCAGCCAGCGTTTGTAAGTGTCTATTTAAGGTCGTTATATAGGAAGTGGGTAAGTATTTTCAGTGATTGTGCAATTGATATTTTGCCCCTATTTGATGGTCATTATTTGTTAAAAACAATGTTTTGAATAATGATTTTTAGGAGAATGTTTAGTTTAAACGTAAGAAAAAGTTTTGGGTTTACTTACAAAATATTTTATTGAGTGAACATGTGGTTGAAAATGAATATGTAAAAAAAGAGTTTTCAAATAATATTTGTCAAACAAGTGCTTTATTTGTATAGCTATATGAGAAACATATTATCATGCAAGCCTAACGGCAAGCCCTTTTTTTGATGGTAACTAGTTCTTGTTTACCTACTCAAGTTAACAGTAGAGATGGATCAAATTGATTTTCCTTAGTAAGAGTTTCTTTGATGTGACGATTTGTGGCTTGATGATGCAGACAACCAGATATTGGCATACATTATTTAATCTAGAGCCTTTGCATTGATTATCATGCGTAACAGATCCCATATTATTATTAAGATTTTTAGACGGAAAGATTGCATCAGTTAACTGTCATAAGTATTGAAATGCAGAATTGTAAACGATTTGATTTTAATGCTAACATATTCTATTTTTAGATGCTAGGTAGCATATCGTGATCATGATCATCATTATCATTATCATTTGGTTCTGCAACTATATTCGTATGGTGTGAAAAAGGAGTGGGATGAACTTATTATGATGTGAAATGATGCTGGGAAATTAATTTCTGTTTTGTCGTCCTGCTTTCTCATCAAATGTTAGTTATCATATTTTGAAATTTTAAGCAATGCTTGATATCACAGGGTTTTGAAAAAAAAAAAAAAAAAAAAAACTTAGATACTGGTGATAAGCAAATTGAAGGTGATCATTAAAAGGAATGAAGGAATTGAGGATCTCGCGCTTAGCTTTTTGCTGGTATATTTGGAGTAATATCGAAAGAGCTCAATAAAGAAGGTTATATTGGGGAAAATGCCATGGTTAGTTTTTTTCTAACCTGCTTGTGGATCCTCAGCCTCTGCAGGGACAAAGGTGCCCTTCAGAAACATCTTTAGCAAACTATAGTTTTAACTGACTTTGTATTGTATTTTCCAACCCATATGATGTTGCAATGAAAGCTGAAGCAGCTCCGTTGAACTGAAATGTTTACTTCTTTGTTTTCATTATATTATTGTCTACTTAATGGACAATAAATTATTTACCTGACATTTTACTGCATAGTGATGATATTGAGTGGTTTCAATTATTGTCTGGGCAATTCCTTGTTAATTGGGTTGAAGTAAGCTTCTAAACATTATTACTGCTGATTTTATATCTTGGATTTGGAATTCCATAGTTATGCGGGATGCTTAGATATGAAGTACTATTTGATTGGTTCATTTGGTTACCAAACTTATTCAAATATAGAGAACATTGATGCACATGTTTTGCTGAGGTTCTAACAATTGTCTATTACTCAGATGCTCTCACACACAGTGATTCTCATTTTGTTCCTTGGAAGCTTCTTGTTGCTGACAATAGTTTAGCAAACTATTGTTTTAACTGCCAGGTATGTTTTCCTCTCTGAATAACTTCATTAAAAATCTGGTTCTTGCAAATAACATGTTGTGAAGAGCTAGCTATGTTGAACATTCCTTGAGATGTGTTAAAAGAATGACTGCTTTGATGTCTCAGCTGCACTAAAATGTATGAATACCCACTTTCAAATGTGTGAGGAATGCTAAAAAATTTACTTATTAGAAGTAGGTTTGGATAGTTCGTTGTTAAATTATAAATAAACGAGTTGATGTAAAAAAAATAAATAAATAAACTTTTAGAAACAAGTAGCTGTCTTTACGACGACTCTTATGGTTGCCTCTTTGAGACTAGATTTCTTATTGTCTGTGCGCAAAACTGAAAGTGATGGGTTCATTTAAGTTCTTCATCTGCTCCTCTTTTAGGCCAAGCATTAACTTGAGGACTATGTTGCATTGTGGCCTCATGCAGACTGGATTGATTCAAGTTTGGCCAAGAATTGCAAATGCTAATGTGGACATCTCTGCTAGTTGTTTACGCTGTTTTATTTACTTTCAATGATTAAAAAAACAAGAAAGAATTCTTTGGCACTAAATTGTTGACAGCTTCCAAGCCAACCTCCTAGTTGTCATCGTTTAATCACTTCCTTTTTCACAAAGTAATTGCTCAAGGATTGTTAATGTATGATTTGTTGTTTACTTATTGATTTGGATCTTGCATACGAAAGGTGTCTATGCTTTCGTGATTGCTTGAGGGTTGTTAATGTATGATTTTTGCTGTTTACTTGTTGATCTTGGATCTTAGCCCGCAAAAAGTGTCTTTGTATGACCATTAAAAAAAAAAAAAAAAAGAATAAGTGTCTTTGTATGAAATTTTTTATGTTCATAAGATGGTGCGGCTTGCTACATTTTTCTTTTGTTGGAGTTTTCTTGATGCAATGAGTTTGGAAATGTAAATGCTAATTAATTTTAATATATTTGCATTTTTTTATGTACTTAGGGTCTGTTTGGTATACTTTTTGAAAAGTTAAAAGGTTTTTTTGAGACAAAAAAACTGTTTTTAATATGTTTGAATAATTTTTTTGAATCACTTTGTTAGGTTAGAAGATATTTAGAGGAAGTTTACCAGCGTTTTCAGCAAGTTCTTGTACAAGTGGGATAATGTTATTTTTAATATCGTTTAATCACCCATTCTTTAAAAAATTTATTATCAAAAAATTTACTTTTCAAGTAGGATAATGTTATTTATCAATAAGTGACGATGCATGTTCACATTGACTTGTTCAATGAATTAAAATTCTTCTTAATTTCATTGGACAAGTCTAAATGGGGTCACCAATCATCTAATTGTCGTGAAACACTAGTTGTGCTAAATAACATTAATCTTCAAAGTTTAATAGATTTTGACAAAGGCTGATCAAATGTATGATTGATAAGTTAATAAATGATTTGAATTTTATGAAACGTGTGGTTAAATTAATTGTTGATATTTATTGTAATTTCTAACAAAATTTTAAGGTACTTTCATTGGATGGAAATCTCCCCCTCGCAGATTCTGCAAGGTTATGTTAGCCTCCCTTTTTATTCTAATCATGTAAGTAAGATCGTATGTCTTTATTTTTAAAATTTTTTGAAATAATATCAGATTTTTTTTAAAAAAAAATTTGTTAATAAAAAATAATTTTGCAAGAATTACAGAAACTTTTCGAGTAAGACGTGGTATCCCTTCTCGAAAAATTTCATATATTTTACTTTTTCTATTTAATGTGTTCACTACATACGATTTTTTTTTCTCTCAATTATCGTGGGTGTTGGGTCAATGTAAGCGTAATTCGACTAATTCTATAGGGTCCCAAAATTTAGCGTTGATTTACTTCATACGATTTTAAAATTAAATTTCTTATTACATTTAATTAAATGAATTTTTTGTATTTTTTAATTTGGGTAATTAGTACAAAATGTCATTACCTTTTAATTTTATTGTGCAAGACGTTCTTACTTTTTATTTTTGAAATTTTGATTTCTATTTTCATCATTCATTGCCAAAAAAGGTTGTTTTCATCCCGTTTGTCAATTAAAAGTCATTCTATTTAGATAAAACAAAAAAATAAAATATAAAAAAAAATTAAAATGCAATTATTCTCCAAACTTTTTAAGAAATTGTGAATGAGTCCAAATGAATTATTAAAAGAGTAATTAGTATAAAATGCCTTTATCTTTAATTTTTTTTTAAATGTTTTTCACCTATACTTTTATATTTCATTATTGAAATTATTATTTTTATCTATTTTTTCAATTAAAAGCTATAGAATAATTCTCATTTTTAAACAATATAAAAATAAAGAGAAGAAAAATAAAGAATGAATCAAAATTATGCTCTCAAAAATTTCAAGAAAGAATAAATAAATTTCAAATAAGTACTAAAAACAAAAAATTAAAAAATTAATTTCTTTTTAAATTATTTATTCGAAATTTATTTGTACTTTTTTGAAAACTTTGGAAGTGTAATTTTAATTTGTTTTTTTATTTTTCCTTTCTTAATTTATTATTTAAATTAGAAGGTATGTTTGTAATTTGACAACTTTTTATTGAGAAAGTGAATGAAAATGATGATTTTAGCAATTTTAAGTGAAAATAAGGTTGAAATGTTGAAAATGAAAGGTATACATTTTACACAATAATATTAAAAGATATGAATATTTTGTATTAATAACTCTTTTAATAATTTATTCGGACTCACTATAGTTTTTTAAAAAGTTTTAGAGTTTAATTGCAATTTATTTTTTAAAAAGTTAAAATTCTTATTACATTTATTTAATTGACATTTTTCATATTTTTAATTTAGCTGGGATTATTAATTTTGGGAGTTTAGCCGTTTGAATAGGACCACGTAAACAAGGGGCGATGTGACATGTTTGAACAGCACCTATTACGTTGTGCCACATGGCACCACTCTAATTTTAGTATTAAAATTATTATCCCATTTATTTAATAGATATTTTTCATACTTTTAATTTAGCTGAGATCCTTAGTTTTAGTTAAAAGAAATGGTATAAAGTATTGTTAATTATTTAAAAAATTATAAAATATGATTTAATTTTAAGATTCGATTTTTTTAAAAATAGAAAACATCCTACTTTAAAAGAATATATAATTCTTTTTATTTTATTTTTTATTTTATACCTAGGTGTCCGCCTTACAGCGATTAATTCTGGGACTTACGATTCAGCCTCTCTTCACGCAGACCAAGTAAACTGCGGGTTGTGCCCCAAATAGGTAAGGGTTCAAGAGTCTTTCCAACTGAATTGTCAAAATATTAAGCGAGTCAAACTCATGCATGCGCCTTATCTTTGAAGAAATATCCTAACTTCCAAGAGAAAACTTGTATTCCAATCTACAAATTAGTTAAACTACAATATATAATTCTTCTTCTCTAAAGAAGAAGTAGACTACAATTAACAAATACGTGTCCCAAAAAAGAAAAATAATAACAATAAATAAATAAATAAAACTCTGGTGCAACGCGTGGTGATTGGTGAAGACCCTGCAAATCTCAGTCGGCTAATCAAAATCACAGTAAAGAAAAGAAATCAAATGACTTTCATCCAATCTCCAATCTCGAGATTAATCGTGAAAGGATTTTATAGAATTTTCACAAGCAGAAGCACACAGTGAGGGTGAAAATGGCGGATGCTACGGACGGGCTAAACAGCGTCTTAATCGATGGTGAAGAATCAGATTTCTATACCAAAAGCCAAAAACAAACTTCGGATTATACCAATGAAGAACTCACACTTCTCACCATTTTGTATCGTTTCATAAGTGCAATTTTCTTTCCGAATCCAAATTCAAGTTATGCTTCTGCTCCTCTACTTCACAGGATTAAAATATCTGTTTCTGAGAATATTCCTTTGCTTCGTCAAGCTTCGGAGAATACCGGTCAGCATGTTCTCCTCTGGGCTCGCCGTGGCAGTCCCTTTCGCTTGCTCCTCGTTGTCTCTGTAAGTATATTGTGCTATTTTAATAATTAAATGAATTTTTTATGTTCTCAAAACTGTAATATTTTATGCGGGCTGTCTGGGTTATCTGCGGCTACTATATATGCATATTTCTTATGATGCTCTTTTTTTAAATATTAGTGGAATGTGGTTCTGACATGGAGACGATTCATTTGAGCTTGCATATGATGATAAATGGGGATATTTTCATTAAAATATCGTCTTTTTTAAGAAATTTATGTATGTTAGCAGACTGTTGGCCTGTAAAGATCAATTAAATCACTAAAAGCTTAGCACTTGGTCATTTGATTCTCACATGAGCACATGTATCTAACTCGAGCACACTACAAGCTCAGCTTTGATCGTCTTCATTGTGATTGAATAAATCGATGGTTGAAGAAAGAACTTTTGGAGAGAGAATCGAGACTCTCAATCTCTTGAAAAACATACAAACTTTGGCACAAATCAAGCCTGAAACCTGAAGTTTAACAATCATGAAGAAATATTTCACCTTATATGGTGCAGATGCACCATTCACGCGTTCATAACCCAGCATGACATTGCTCTACCCTGAATTTCCCATGGACTATTGAGAATTAGTTCCCCTAATCTGTCAATATCTGAGCACTTATTCACTACTACTCTACAAAACCAAAAAGCAGTCATTTTCAAAGTGGAATGGCTGATTTTAAGCCAAATGGATTGAAAATGGTGGAGTGGTAAGGCATAGTGAAATACTTAAACTTCCTATGAACACCAAAGAAATTAGCTGGTCACTGGGAGGGGTAACTGAATCCTTCCTGGTGGAACAAATCCCTCGGTTTCTCAATTATTTAACCGAATACCATTTTTTGGGGCCTTGCCACAGCAGCCCCTTTTGTGCCTATCTTGTTGTCCTTGTATAGCATTCTAATGCTACTATTTTATTATCTGTAAAGTATTTTTCCCCCCACCCCACCAACCCTTGGAGAGAAACTTAGGTGAAGCGATGTATACTCTAGAAAGATAATGACTTCCATTGAAACTAAACTTCAGCTATATGCAATTGAAAACTTGTAACTTCGTTAGGTGGTGATATCTGAAAAAGTCACTTTGTCATGGGATTGAAAACTTAACTTTTTTAGTTGGAGTTTTGCTTTTGGTGCGTCTGCGTGTAATAGACACATAATGCATCCAAACAACTTTTAAGTGTAAAAGAAGAAAAACATATATCCAGAAGGAAAGACCATTTTAAGTATGTTCATAGAAGTTTCATACGAACAAGGGTTCACATTCTGTTAATCACTCAGGTGGTTTTAACATTACTTCACTTTTATTGCATTTAGGAACGTCCATACGAATAGCAAAGCCCTTGGCACTTTAAGAAAGTTTGCATTTTCCCTATTTTTTGGTGGTGTATTTGCACAAGAAGCTTGATGAATAATCCATTGTCATTGGGATGTTTTCCATAATTGTCGAAAATTACTTTCCATTCTTATTCCTTTAGAACTAGGAATTTTTCTGAAATTGATTTTAAATCTCTTTGTGAAATGTTTGAAAAGATAGGGACATTATATTATTATTTATGAAGGTATGTCCAGTGTCGATGACTCAAGAATGATTCACTACGAATGTAATAAATCATCTATGTTGCATTTGCACTTCAATTAGAGTAGCATGTCCCATGGTCATTTTTCTTTCTTTATCAAACATATTATGTACTTTTAACTCTAAATTATTGTTAAATAAAATAATAGGTACTAATATTTCAAGGATTTTAACAAGAAAAATTAATAGCATGTATAAAACTAAATTTATTCTATATAAATGAAGAATTTTAAAAAATATAATTTGTTGTATCAATACTTTTTTAAAAAATTGAGTATTAATATGTCCGATACATGTCGTGTTGGTGCATCATAGTAAGCTAGCATGCACCAAATGGTTGAGACTTTACACTAGAAGTGAACATTTTTATTAATCAATAGAAAATCAACCTTTAGATAGTAGAATTCAAATATTTTAAGCAAAGAAACCTAGGATGTTTTAATGATGTTATTTTATTGGACTCATGGAATTTGAGTAATGCTATTATGTTTAGGAAGAATAGCATCTTGACAAGTGATGCAGACCTAGTGTAATATCACGAATTTCACGAGCTCGGAGTGTTGCCTGGGTTTGTATCTTTCGTCAACATTTTGAAAAATGGCGCGGAAATTCAAACACTTAAAATGGTTGACACTTTGAAAGTTCAGTCACTTTTTTATTTTTATTTTTATTTTTTATATTAATGGTTAAGTATATCAATTAATACCTGTCGAGCTCTTGCACCATTT